AGTGATTTGTCTGCTTAAGAGCCACAATTGAAGAAAGGACAAAGACAATCTCACACCAATCTTTGAAAGAATATGTATGAGAATATATATATCTATATATATACCCTGTTTATGAAAATGCTGTATATCTACTCATGAGAATGAAAAGAAGTTAGGTTAGTTAATTAATTAGTTGTTGCCTATTGTTTGCTTGCTTAATGATCATTTGGGTCACAGATTATGTTTTTATTCATAAGTTAGATGTGAATGAATTAATTAGTAATTGAGGGAGATTGTTAAATGAGTCCTAAAAGTGCACATTTGTTTGAAATGTCTTTCTAGGCCTTTTAGGCAAAATTATATTGATAGGTCCTCTCCTAGATCTGGATCGAACTGGTGGAAATAAGCTCTGATCCGCCTGAATCGTAGCCGAACACCTGCAGAACTCAACGCTCGAGGGGTTTTCCAAAGAAGAGCCTCCAATGCTTAAGTCAGTATCAAGAAGATGATGGAAATGCTATGTGAATAAGAATAGTGCAAAATGTATGGAGAATGTAAAGTTGTAAATTGGTGATACCAATAGGGGAAAATACTTGCCTGGAATATCCTGCTCGAGTGCCTGCGGTCACCTACCTGGTTTTCCGGATCTTTAATACTTATCCATTTCCTAATCACTTCTTAATTAGTCATATCCTAATCATCTTAAGATTCCATCTTATCCACTTAAGATTCATCCATATCCCTTGAGCCTGTTGGATCTAGAGATGTAATCTTCCTAATCACATATCTCGAGCTGCGAGGCGAGTAAAGTTGACCTCGAGATGAGGGAGGTCAATAAAACACTGTCTCGAGGTGAAGTGGGGTCGTTAGGCTTAGATCATCATCTCCGGCCATCTCTCATCTCGTCCTCGAGATCTCTAAGTTACCCCTTTGTTTATCTAGGGATGACTTGGAAAGATTCCCTTTCCAAGTCGTCATACAATCAAGTCGTCATCGAGGCTCTTAAGTCGCGTGTGGTAGTTCTCCGGGCCTAATTGTGATCTATTGGTTAATTGTTATGTCCCCGAATTATGCCTCAAGTCGTCATACTCAACTCGACTCGTAGCCCGGTCGAGTTGCTTAGATTTAATCCGGTTTACGCGAGTATGGCTATATCACATACTTTTTCAATAAATTTATATTTTTTTCATATTTTAACAATAATATTAGTAAACTTATGAACATCGATAAATATACATTTTCTTATTAAGAAGTATAATAAGTCGATCTGTCTTAACGTTAGGCTGTCCCAAGACATGAACATCTCTTGTGATCCTTTGTTTTTTAGTATGCAGAAAGATCTTTAGCTCATAAAATTTTATGCAAAAAGATTTCTAGCTAGCTCATAAGAAATTTAGGCTACAGACAGCTAGTTGGTTGAGTTGAATGTCACATGTTGCAATCAAATAATGCATTTTTTTATTTTTTTTGGGGGGCAGTAAAGATTATGACCATGCCTTCATTTCTGTCTTCACCCAGGAGTAAAAATTGATATGGGCAAATCAAGGAACAGAAAAAGGAAAACTTGCATTAATATATTCTTTAAAATTTAGTAATGGATAATTTCAAAATCTACCCTTTGTTTGTCTATTTATGTAAATATTAATTAACAACCCANAGGATAGATAAATAGATAGATGGATAGAAAAACAATGCCCTCAAAGACCTTTTTTTTTTCAAATTTCAAACCTTTTATGAGTTCATTATGCAATTAGTCAATCATACTTTTTTAACAGATACGTGTAACTTTCAAATAAGTACTTTAAATAATAGCATAAACGAAAAGGCATGACAATTCATAGCATAAGTACACATTTTTTTTTTCCAGAAAGTATGACGGGTCGACCCGCCTAATCGTTAGACTGTCCCAAACAACAACAATAAAGACACATCATCATGAGGGGCCAAAAAACCTATTCAACATGTAGTGGAAAAGAGTTTTATAGAGTAGCAACAATATAATATCCCAATGGTATTTGCATGAAAGATAACAATATTCCTCAAAGACCTGTGTGCCTTGCACTTTGATTATATAGCTGGCCAGATGTAAAAATAAGGACAATGATTGCGTTTGATTTCTAGTAGAGAAAAGATCGACACGGGTAACTAGTCGATTGCAAGTTATGTTTGTTTTTTTTTTTTGCTTTTCACGTATTTTCGCCTTTCTTTCTCACGTTCATTGCCCGAGCTGTTTGATTTTTTGTTCGGACATGGATTTGTTGCAAGGGGGGCCTGTTTTTCTGGTTTCATAATCTTCCAAAAGGATGTGAAGATCAAATTGTGGCACTCAAGAAAGTGTTTGTACGTTGTAGCAGTAAATAGGGTTGTGATTCTCATGCAGAATGTGTATGTGCATGGGGTTTTGTATCAGTCGAGACACACAAAAGAGAAAAAGAAAAGAGAAATAATTAATTTCTTTCTATTTATTAATTTCACCAAAGTTATTTGAGGAAAATTTCTCTTTTTGTAACACCCAAAAGTTAAATAGGCAGATGAAAAAACCATAAGTTGTGGGGGCTTAGTGTGGTATTTTCAAAAGTTGAGGGGTGCATGTAATTATATTATTGATTGCAACTTTAACTTTTTTCTAACTGTTGTAAGACAGGTCTAACCATTAAACAGTTTGAAGAATATGCATATTTTGACGAATTAGTGACACTTTAAAAAATTAATTAAAAAAAGTATGGCATTTTTTAATATAAGTATGCATTTTTTGTTCGAATAATATGACTGTCTGGCAGACTATCAGACCGGTTGATGTAGGGAAGAGTACGGATAGGACGTAATTAATGGTATCGCAATCTCAAGAACACCTAAACACGATATCAATTTATCTTTTATTCATCTTCAACCAAAGAAAATAAACTAGAGAAAGTCATTTATATGACGTTGCTAACCCTAATTCTTAACTTGTCCACCAAGTCAAGATAAATAAAAGCAATTAATAATAATAATAATCAATGCTAATAATAATATTAATAATAACACTAGTCTACACCACCGGCTCACAAGAAGTTGTGCTTTTGTGGATATTTATTTGTCAGGAGTTAGATTGAAATTACTTGAATCATAACATATTAGTTGACATAAATTTTGATATAATCAATACACACATAGCAAGTTAATGAGGATTAATTATATTCATTACACCAACGTTAAAATCAACCATTTTTATACTTACACATTATTTATGTTATACATATGTCGAACATTATGTTAAAGTTCCTTTATTCAATTAATTTTTGTGCTGACCAGAATTAAATAGGCAGATAAAAGAAAATATTAAAAAAATATATATAGGTGTCATGAATATTGTGAAATGCTTTACGTATAACATTTTTCGTACAAGTATGCATTTTTTTAAAAAGAAAAGTCTGACGGATAGATTTGCCCTCTTGTAAAATGTGACATATCAATTATTTATTTTATAGTTCTAATGTTATGTGTACATATAATTTATATATATGTGCATGTGCACTGGTCCGTAATTAAGTGGTCCATAATAATGAGATGAAAGATGAGTGATGGTAACGTTAGAATGGCATGGAGTCATGAACTCATGGGCAAATGAATCAATTAATGAAATAAAGAATCTATCTATTTTTGTTTCTTTTCTCTTTTTCTTATAAACTTTTTGTGCTCATAAAAGATTGCTATATTCATATAGATGAATTAACTTTTACCTTCTTCATCTCATTTGGTGCTTTAATCTTCATGTACGAGTGATTACTTTAGTAGTTAATGATGTTAATTTGATTGTTTAAGCAATGGACTAAAAATCACTAAAAAAAAAAGAGAGAGATTTCAGTTGTATCTTGTAACGAGAGTTTGAAACTGAAATATATCCAATTATAAAAACACTAATAAGTTAAAACACTAATATGATTGTAAAACGCAGAATTTATTTGCAGTGTGGTCCTTTTCACAAGTTGGAGAATCTAAAGGGACCATAAGTAACAATTTGGATACCCAAAAAGGCACAATATATAATATATTTTTTATTACTATTATGGAAATGTGCAAATTCAATAACTCTCCTAATACTATTCAATTTAAGCATTTATGAAAGAATCATCATAAAATTACAACGGCAATATTCAACAAAATTTTAATAGCAATTTCAGTGAATATTTCATTCTTGTAACTTTCGTTAGAAAATTCCTACTAAAATATTGTTCCTTTAAATTACTATTGAATGTTATCGATTTGAGCTACAATTTTTCCAACGGTTAGATTATTGATCGGAAAAATAATTCCATACGAAATTTAATTCGAAGTGAAGATTTTAGTTATCTCGCTTGAAGTATCCGTTGAAAAGATATAATATTCCCTACGAATATGAGCAACTTTTTCCATATCAAGTATGAGTCGTGGGAGTTCTATTTTCGTTGCACATTAGCTTCCACAAGCTGAGATAATTTTTATGAGGGTAGTGTTAAATTTTGATAAGATATTATTCGAATTGAAGCTCACAAAAAAGAAAAGGAGAAAAAAGGACGAGTAAATGTTATTCAATATTATGATAAATCCATGGGCACTTAACACGAAATTGAACTTTAATCACCCTAAGATTTCTATTCTTATATGGTGTCATGAGCGCTTTGTATGTAAAGTCTATTTTGGAGAACTTATTGAAAAGTCCGTTTAAGGAATGAAATTATTCAAAATGGACTTGTCTAATAATTTTTATCATTTATTTCTACAAAATATTTTGGAGAATCAATTTATTCATAACTTTATTCATAATTTAGCACTAAATATAAATATTTATTCAAATGGACTTTAGTATTCGCCGGAAAATTAATTTGAAAAGTTTCTCCAAACAAGTACTAAAAACTTTCTCGTTTGTCAATCAAAATATTGAATAGAGCTGTCATATAAATGATAATTATAACTAGCCAAATTATTTTATGTATAAAATAATTTCAGGAAGCTCTTCAAATGCAATGAGACTTGAGAACTCTGGGCCTTGTGACATTAGGGATTGAGCTAGGCCAGCACCAATATTTGGGCCTTATTTTGGACCTATTTTATACGCTATCCTGGGTCCAATAAATAAAGTCCATACCATACCGAAAGTTATTAATAATTGAAACTGTGTGTCTTATAAGCTTGCCTAGATTTTTCGGTGCTCTATCTCGGTGGTTTTCCAACAATATACGTACATTATAAAAAAATATTATTTCTTTCTATTTTTATTTTTTGCCATACTGTTCCCTATATTTCAGTTTCTTACAACATTCAAAGCATATTAAAATTAAAATTAAAAAAAAAAAAAGAGGGAGAGAGAGAGAGATAGGGCTTCAGAGAGTCCCAAAACCCAAATAGGCATTAAAATTTGGCCCAAATTGGATGATAAACAGGTTGTGCCTCAACCTGTTATACAAGGGGCTTCTCACTAATATTTGTTACTACCAGAGCATTTATACCAAGTGGCTAGTAAGGTTGCATTTTACAGAGATAAGTGTAGATTAACTAACTGCTATGACTATGATGTTTTGATAAGATTTAGACGAGTACAAGTTTAAGGATGGATTATTTTTTTAATAATAAATGAATATTAAAATCTAAATTATACAATGTAGTAAATGTGTACACAAAAAAAAATCACTAAAACTAGCAAGAAATATAAGTATGATACATGTTTCTGTTTCTTGGAATTAATTCAATAAAGATAATAACTCACGTAAACTATATTTCATTTTCCTCATAAGAATATCACAACGGTGATCTAACCTCTCTCGAACAAGTTAAACGGTTAATCAATTACTATTACATTTCGTCTCAATTTCAAAATAAACAATTAACTTTAAAGAAGCGTTGATACCATAAAAACAGTGATAATTATATGAGTATTGAAAAGTCAGAGAGAGAAGAAGATAAACACTCTATTATTATTGTGTTTACCTTGGGTAAGACTTGCACGACCTTAATGCCCAAATAGTCTTATTGCCGAAGATCTACTCAGTCTTGTTGTCCAAATATCCTTCTGCTCAAGGTGTGCGAATTCTTCAGGTCATCTCATTTGTAAAATCAGTCTCCTTATCTACTTCTAAGGTCTTGTATATCTTAGGCCAATAATCCATCATCACACTCGTTTTATATGTCTTGAGCTCATGCACTTTTGCTCCTTCCTAGATTGTGATTAGACGCTTTCAGAAGTCAACCACAGTCTTACGAGGTATCAAACATTCCCTACGTTCTTACCAAGCTATAAGGTCTTAAAACCATCACACTCGAACTTCAGGACACTTAAGCCCTCATACCCAAGCCATCACCATCGAGCTATAAGCTCACGACCACTTACCCGAGCTAATTCTTGAGACTGGTCTACAGAGTTAATTTCGTCAAGTCGGTCTATCGACCTACTCTAGTTATATCAAGGGTAATTGGTTTTTTATATATTAAATATCAACTCTTCTCAAAGGACAAAAATGTAGATCAGAATCTTTCCGTCTACCAAATATAGAAAGCAACTCAATTTAGAGAGTAATGGATTGTCAAAGCAAAATCAATACGTAAGATCCTAATAGAAAAAGAGAGAAGATCCTAAATTGAAAAACAGAGAAGATTGGTGCCCGTGTTAGCCGGACAAAACGTAATTTGGAATGAACCAAAAAAGAAATATGAAAATCCAGACATGTTTTTTAATATCTTTCTCTATAACTCAATTTTAATATAGTTTTAATTTATTTTTATTTATTTAATAATAAATTTAGTATCGGTTCACAATTTAATTAACATTTCTAGAAAATATACCGGTTCAATTTATTCTAACTTTTCTTTTAATAATTATTTCAGTTTATTTCTACTCTTTACATTTTATTATTACGTTATTGAATTTCTAATCAAATTATTTATCAAATTAGATGATAAATAAAAATATTATAATTTGTTATTTTTTTTTTTTTAAATTATTAATCAATTGAATGAGAAAATCATATTCCTATCCTGAATTTATTTGATTATTTTAAATCAGATCCAATCTAATTAGTATCAAATCAAAATTAGACAAAAGAACACAACTCTTAGTTGGGGTAAAAAATCTCAATTTACTTCATTCTTCAGAAATCTGTAAACATTGATTTTGTACATTCAGCAGAACACACGCCAAGCCAACGAAACAGGAAAACAAGAGAAGAACCAAAAACATCGCAAACCAAATTCATAACAAGAACATTAAAATTCCACTCCTAATTCCTCCAGCTACCACCATCAGAACCACCGCCACCCCTCGAATACCCGCCGCCGCTGCCATAACCACCGCCACGGCCACCACCGCCGTAACCTCCCTCACGGCGGCCACCATAGCTACCTCCCCCACTCCCACCGCCATAGCCACCGCCCCCACGGCGTTCTCCATAGCCACCGCCTCCGCCGCCACCATACCCACCGCCTCCGCCGTCACGACGCGGCCCACCACGGAACCCACCGCCGCCGCCTCCACCACCGCCGCCACCGCGGGACTGAGCCTCGTTAACGGTGATATTCCGACCGTCCAGCTCCTGGCCGTTCATGGCGTCAATAGCCTCCCTCATCGACTGCTCGTTGCTGAACGTGACAAACCCAAATCCCCTCGATCTCCCCGTCTCCCGATCATTGATGATCTGCAAATTTTTCACAAAACCAACAAAAAAAAATCAGATCCAACAGATCCAACGCCAGATCTAAACAATCACACAGAAAATCATCGAAATAATCAAATAAAACAACAAACGATGATTCAATCTTCAACCCTCCGGAAAAAAAGAGAGAAGAACGAAAGAACGTACCGTTTTCCGGTGAGCAAAACACACAGTAACAGAAACAGTAACACGATAGTAACATAGTAACAGATTTTTAGTAACAGATCAGAAGAGAGACGGTGGGAGTCCGATCCCGGCGGGACAACAAACAGACCTTCGATTCGACGACCTCGCCGTACTGCGAGAAAGCCTGCTCAAGGGACTGATCGGTGGTGGCCCACGCCAACCCACCGACGAAACACCTATACTCAACATCGGCGGCCGCCATTGACGACTTACTAAGCTAAATAAATTATTGAAAAATTGAAAAGAGAGAGAGAGAGAAGCAGCTGTTGAGTGATGAGAGATGAAGGGTAATTGAGGGGGGATTATATAGGTATGATAGGGCTAGGTTTTCGGGGATGGGTGTGGTTAGGAGTGTGGTTAAATTGGACCGTGGTTAGCGGCGGGAAAGGAGGGGACGTGTGGTTAGCTGTTTAACTAGGGTTAGTTGGTGTGGTTAAGGAGATATTTTTGGCGAGTGGGGCCCGTGAGTCACGTGACTGGTTGGTTGGTGGATGGGGATAAGGAAAAGGACGGAGGATATTCTGTTTTTTTATTGACAAGTTGCGTGTGAGTTTGTGAAAAGGGCAAAAAAATATCTTGTCGAGATATTTTTCTTCTTTTGAATTTTTTTTTTTTCTTTTTTGAATGTGTTCATTTTGAAAGTTGTGTGTATTATTTAGGGAGGTGCATCCGATCGAAATTTTTAAAACCTTTTTAAGATTCTATAAATCTTAGAGTGTATTCATTTTATATTTTTTTAGATTTTAAAAAGTCTTTAAAAAATTATGAGTATTTAATTTATTTGAAATTATGATTTGTTAAGATTTTTTAAAATTTTATGTAATTTCTAAATAAAAATCTTATTCAAAATTTTACATCAAAACTTAAGATTTCACATAATTCTTCAAAAACAAGAAAATATTAAAACAATATCAAATCTGAAAAAATCTTAAAATATCAATTGAAATCTCAAACGAATGCACCCTTTAATTTAAAAAAGAATAATGAAAGTTAAGGAATGATTGGATATAAATAAAATCCATATTGATTTGTTTATTGATTAAAATGAGTTAATTTTGAATAAAGCTGATTGAGTAGGATTTTGAGTTTATATTTAAATAATATTTAAAATATAATTATATGAGTTATTTTTTAATAAAGTTAATTTAGTGAAATTTTGAGTTTGTATTTATATAATATTTAAAATATAATGTTTAAAGTTGAAATGGTTAAAAGTATGAGAGAAATAATTATTAATTAAAAATGATAAGTAGTTAAAAATATGTGAACATGAATAGTGAATTAAAAATGATGTGATGTGTGAAGATAATTAATTAGTATTATTTAATTCTATTAGTAATATTGATAAGAGTTGTATTGAATTGTGTTTGAGTTAAATTTGAAGTTTAAAAGTGTATAAAATTATTCGGCTAAAAACTATTTAGTTTGTAGCCCCTTAGTGTGCTTTTTCCTTTTAGATGTAAATAATTTTTTTGTATTAATTGCAAGAGATTGTATACAAAATTTGCTAGAGGAATCGCTGAAAAAAAAACGAAGGATTTTTTGAAAAATGATAAAAAAAAGGAGAAATTACAAAAACAAAGAAATCACAAATATATATATATATATATATATACATATATATATAAATACATNAAATTATGTATTCATATATAGGAGATACTTTATATTGCAAATATAGAAGTCATATATGTTGCAAGGCTATATTTTTGTCTTTATTTTTTCAGAATTTGGTAGTGGATTTTATAAAAAATAACCCAAATATCAATTGATGTAAATTTTGTTTTCTAAATATTATGTGATGGGGAATGGTATAATCCAAATCTTAATAATATTCTATGCACGCGGACAACAATTATAATAAAGTTTATTAATATAATCACGTGTGCATATCAACATATTACAATATAAAATATACTATATACTTTTAGTTTCATTATAGTCTTAACGTAAACGCTTGTAAGTTTATCATAAATAATAATATTTTATGTAAGTTGTTGTATGGCATTTAACAATGATATTAAATGATAGCTAAGGCGTAATTAAAGTAAAAAGCAATATAAATTTTGTATTATTGTTGTCTTTTTAGTGAGTACAGAAGGTAGGTTTTTGTGCATAACCGAAATGTTTTTGTATGTCCGTGTACAATGTGTGTAAAAAAAATCCTCGTACAATAATAAATTATACTATTTATAATACGGTGCATTTGACTTTTTGTACGAGGTAGATCAGATCGCATTTAATGTTGAGCAGCTTCATTAAAGCGGTCTGTATTGCAATGGGAGGACATCAATGATTACATATGTATTATGTGTTCCAATCAGGAATGCGCCTTATCACCAGCTTTGGAATTCGGTCACCTCGGAGCTCGATTTTTGTTGATAATCTTCAAAGAAGAATATTCGAGAAGTCGGTTTCTTGTCTTTTATGCGAGGTCGATTCATCGCCTTAAGTAGGTCGGTTGTCATTTATGTGTGAGGCCAGGCGTCGCCTTTTTGTATCGAGGTGAGCTTAGTTTGTCGTGGGAGTTGGGCTGGAAAGAGCGTTTGAAGATAATATCAATAAATTTTCCTTTAATCTTGACAGATCAGGTCGGTTGTCAACAGAGAGGTCCCCGACATTAGGAGGTATTCAAACGGGGATGGCTGCTGATGTCGGTATTGTAGTTGCTAAATCTGACTTGATTTGTTATTACTCCGACGTGGTTATATGGACCGACGTCTGCTTATGTTACCGACATGAGAACACTTGGTGAAAATATTGGCTTCAAATGTATTGAGGACTGATGTGGTACAACGACTCTGTATATGTGGCGGTTATTAAAAGACGTGTTCGTATTTAATGGGCGTAACGAATAGAAATGTTTGGGTTACGTGGCGAGTCAAGATCGGTCCACCTGTATTAATGAGGAATAATGAAGCGTTGCGTCTTCAGGAGACACGTCCGTTACACGCGTCGTTTCCCAATTGTTCAACGGTTACAATCTGCCGACTATAAATTCCCACCAGTTTCGATTTTGAAGAGTTTTACACTTATAACTGCTAAACTCGCCATCTTCCGTTTTATTCTGTCTTTAAATCCTTCAAATTCTTCCGTGATAACTGAAATATCGAACAATTCTTCGCTTTCGCAGTTCTAGAGGCTTTCAAATTGTTTGGTAAGGCTTTGCCCCTAATTTTTGTTTCTTTGTACTTTGTCCATTAAATTTTTTCTTCTTTCAATTCGAAAATATGGTTTCACAATCCGAATCCAGTAGTAGCCGCACAATTTCCGAGAATAGGATTTTTTATGATGAGGACTTGGAACTGGCCCTTGAATATTATCGATGGGATCCTATACTTGTTGAATGCCTTAATCTCACAAAAGATAATATCGAGGGCGATCGAGTAGTTGAGAAGGATGCTCCGACATTATCGAGTAGTTGAGAAGGATGCTCTGACATTTTATGAGTATTGGAGGCGTCCAGCACGTCGGTGGCCTGCGGCCATTGATGAAAATCAAGGTGAACCGAGCATACTGACTGATGCCGATATAGTACTTCTTCGTGAGGAGGTACGAGTTCCCCCATCAGTGAAACTGCCTGCACCCTATCCTGGTTGAGAGTGATAAAGTCGCGTTTAGGAATTGTAAAATGAGCCTCCAAAGAGGGTACAGTCGCACTTAGCAGTCTTTAGCCCATCTAGAGTTTGAAGGGCAAATGAGCCTCCAACGAATAAGTGATGCAATTTGGGCTGTAGGATGATTGTGGCCCACTAACGAATAAAGTGTGCCCATTTTGAAAACCATTTCGTTTAGATGAATTTTTATGGAATTTGTCAATATCCAGTACTTACTGAGGGTTTTATTTTGAGAATTTATTTTTGTTAC